ATCCAAACAGTGGCCAGTGGCCGGTTGCAAAACATCAAGACACCAAAAGTTTGCCAGAGGTATTGAGACTGCGAGGGTCCTACTGCTGGCAGTCTGCTGGTTTGGAGAACATACTGACGGATTGACACCGGGCGGCACCGCGGGAATCCGTTGCAAGTGATTGTGTAATATCATATGGGTCTAGCCCCCAAGGGCTGTATCAAACACACACGCCCCTCTTCATCATCTCTATGTGGCCAAAGAGGTGCAGCTCAGCTTCCTACACGACCTGCGTACCAAACAAACGGTCGAAAAAAACTAAAATCTCAGGTGGTGCAAGTGCATGGTTCTTCCTTCAAACGTAGCAATGTCTTGGACAAGTACAGTTCACACCCTTGTGGAACTGAGGACGTTCACCGCCGTCGTCCTTAGGACCTACTTCCTGGCTGGGTTCGCCTCTCACCTGCTCTCTGGGGGCAGGCACTGTTGCGCTGCTTCTCGTCTATAGCGCTCATACCTCAGCTGTTTGTGGAACACCGGAACTGGATGGAACTGTGGAGCAAGTGGATGCCCATCGTCCCTTTTGGTGTTTCCGGAACAGCTGATGCCAATTGCTTCGTTCACCGCGCGGCAGCGGCATGCAGAACCATGAACCGCACCCGGGTGCGTGAGGCATACCGCATCCTCAAACTGCTGGTGGAAGATCCAAGATGTGTTTGAAACAAGGTCACGTTCAGGGAAAATGTCTCTCTGGTAGTAACTGAATCACCTGGTCACCCACAGCCAACACAGGATCTTGCTTTCCTGGCAGGACCTTGGCCGGCCATCTATGGCCCACTTGTCGTGGGGCATCCATCTCCAAACAGAACAAAACCACATGCAACAAGTCCCCCAGCTCATCCAAGGTAGCTGATCAAATGCAAATAAAGTAATAACACAAACAAACACATGTGTTTGGTGCAACTGGAGACCAACTTCAATGACTGAGCCCGTTGGCTCAGTCGCCTGCGCCTCTCCAAACAAACACATGTGTGCGTCCAGCTCGGTGGGCCGTCCCATGCATCGATCTATCCATAAGGGCCGTCCCGTCTGGGTGCCCAAGCAGACCCGAATAAAAGTGGCCTCAGCAAACGCAATGCTCAGTGCCCATGGCAGCACCAAGCTGCTGCAGCATGGCTGCTTCAACATGACCAAACGAAATCGGAGGTGAGGTGACCACGGAGTGTGGCCAAGCCCATCGTGCCAAGGACGTTGGCATGTGGGGATCGGTGAGGCCAATCGCCAAGCAAGTCGTGAATTCTGAGCAGAAACTCCGTTGGAATCCTGGATGTAGCTGTCAGACTGTCAGCAAATCAGTGGTTTCAAGTGGTTTCAATATGTTTTGTTTCTACAGTCTGTAGATTCTGACGTGCTCCGTTCATTGTGATCATGGGGGCCCTGCTGGTCCTGGTTGAACACATTCCAAGACCAGGCCAAAGACTGTCGAGTACAGCAAATGACTATACAGTGCACCAGCTTCTTCAAAGTGACCTTTTTGGAGTCCCTAAGTGACATCAAATTGGGATATCAACAGGTCACTTTGAAGAACCCGGAATGTAGCATATTTCACTAAACCATGCTGTGCACAAGGGAATTGCTTTTTTAGTGGAACCCCTATCATTGTTTTAAATTAAGGTCGGGTGAACAATGAGGTAGGCAATCCTGAAATCTTATGAAATCTTGAGGTCAGATCTCAGCACAGGCGCTAGGCCCAAAGCAGTTTGTAGTGTCTCCCCGTGATCCCCGTATTCCTAAAATTCAAACAAACAACCGTACAAAATGAGAAGGTGTCGTGTTAAGTTAATTCCAGAAAGGGCTTCAGGCATGTCTGCTTCCATGTGGAAGATCTTGTTCCAGGGGCAGTATCACTGAATCCCGCAAGCCCTGCCGCAAAGTCGCAAAGAACATCAAAGAACAACAACACCAAACACCCGACAAGCAATGAACTGCCCTGAGTTCTTTCCTGCATTGCATGGTGTCAACAAATGGAAAGCGAAAACAAAAATACATGCCTGATGCAACGGTTCGCGACACATCTCTAGACAGGAATGTGGGGCAAACAAGTTTCAGGACACATGTGTTTTTGTCGTGATCTCTTTGGAGTTGTTCACAATCCAGTTGGACATGTTGCTGCAAAAGGACCCTGTTTCTATGGGGTGATACCAAAGTGGTGCCAAAAATGGGTATCCAATGCCCTGGTTTCGTCCTGGTTCGTCCCACAGAGTCTGCCCAGTGGCGACCGTAGACCCCAGTGACCTCGAGCACCGAGGCGACGGACAGCAAGAACGAGCCCGGTGGTCCGTTTGGCCACCTCCTCCCGAGTTTTCGGTTTGGTGGTTGGATGTGGTTGGATGCGGTTCAGGGGGGGGGGCTCACCAAATGAGGATATGGCTGTGAATCATTGTGAATCAAAAACTTGAAGCCCAAACCCTTGTAGGTTGACCACCCAAGTAGTCTATGGTCCCCTGTTTTCATCCATAGCCATATGGGCCAGGAGCCCTTTTGGGAATCGCCATTCCCTCGGAATGGGCACCATCTCTGAGACGCACGTGGCGCGACTGAGAAGTGCGGCAAGTTGTGCTTTAACAAGAATGGGGTCAAAAGCGTGGAGAATCTGGATGGCTTATATATGTTGGTTTCCAAAAACGCAACATTTGTGAAGCAGTATGAACTCCTTGTGTTTCCCCATCAGATCCCTTGTTTTCATACTTGTGCGGTCAATATGCTTTTTGGGGGTCCTAGTTGTCGGCCCCCGGTGGCTTTGGCCGTTCACTTCCGTTCGCTTGTCGTTGTCCACCAGAGGGCCGTCTTGATCAAATGGGAAGCGCAAAGCGAAACCGGAAAAAACAGAAAACGCTTCAAAGCTGTCTTGCTCTCCTCGTGGGTTCATGGATGGAGTACTAGAGTACTACTGGCTGATATTGGCCTATGGTGTGACATGTAATGCATTCTTCATAAATGAAATCTGGTCGGGGCTATCTTTTGACCTGCTAGGCAGGCTTCTCTACCATGACCCTGGCCAAGCCATCACAACTCAACACTGTAGCTGATGAATAGAGATCAAAGAACATGGCCCCTGCAACAACACAGGTCAAACCTCCCATCTGTTCCATTCATGTGCGGGCCAAAGAGCTTTCCAAGTGACCCACCGCTCAAATATATACATCAAATGATTTGTGTAGGACCCAGGTTTCTCCTAGATTTGGCATCTTTGCCTCTTTTCAAATCTCTTTAGCTGTCTCTTGTTTCTGTCCGTGAGAACTAACACCAATACTGAACACATACTTAGCCAGTGACAACATGGGGCAGCCCCATTCAGGCTCCACACTCTCTCATACTTTCTGTCCTGACCATCATCCATCTGTCTTCGACCTTCTCAGCTTGAAGCCCTCAGGGGTCTGTTCAACCGAAGCCCTCAGGAAGCTTCGTAGCTTGACCATTCCAGGTTCGTCTGTTGCTCTTCGGTGGTCAACGGACCCTCGAACCACCGCGGATCGCCGCCTGATTGGGTGGGATGGATCGATTCTGCAGGGCGTCCTCAGTGAGACTCTCGTCCCCATGGGAAGGAAGAAACTTCGATTCTGAAGGTGTGTTAGAATAGGGGGCAAGGCAAAACAGATGAACACTTGGCCGTTTCTTGGACCGCAACACGTGGATACCAACACTCACCCTTTGACAAACATGACACTCATGACAGGCAAATCCCATCCCATCCGACTCTTTGAACAGCTTGAACACTGAAGGATCGAGTCTTCAACGTCGTTTAAGCGCCCACGGCGTTTGTCGGGCCCACGTCGTTTCCCGTACGGACCGACGTTGGAAGGCAAATGCTGCACCTGGGCCACACCTGCAGCTGTAGTGTAGAAAAAAACAAGAGCACCATCGATCGGTAGCGGTCAGAAGAACTGGAATAGGTTCTTCCTGCCGTTCTTGCTGGATATTCATGAATTTTCATGATACTTTGGGGAAGTCTGCGGTCTTCCCCCCGCCCAGTTGGCCCTTCGATCGGCACCCACCTTTTTAAAACTGCCCAGTGGCCAAAGTGGGCGTTGGAAGGCCCCAGTGATCCCCGGAGACCCGCACGTGGCCATCCGCATCTTGGCAGGCGCATGCCGAAGGTGCAAGAGAGTGGCGTTTCAAGTGTCCAGATGCAAAGCTGGTATATTTTGTAGAAGAACGCTTGCAAAATAAGACCCGTTTGTCAAACAATGTCAACAAAAACACAGTGTACATGTGCATTAAAAGATCATCCTGCTAGATAACTTTTGCCGTCCCCCTCCCTCTCTTTCTTCATACAAAATATGTATAGTGTTGTGTGTTTTAAATATTGTGCATGTGATGTGCATGTGTAACCCTCTATACTAGTACAAGTGCTAACGAGTATAGTTCCACGTTCCACGTTCCGAGGAGAGGTTAACGAGTTCAGCAACCTGAAACCGGATGAGCCCGGTGACCGCCAAGCCCAAGTTAGCCCGGTGACCGCCAAGCCCAAGTTAGCCCGGTACCCTCACCCCCCTTAGGAGATGACCCCCCATCCCTAATGACCAGATCTGGATTCATGCCAAAGGAACCATGTGATGAGCAAACGAGAACGTGTTGCAGGATATTGCAGGATCTGAAAGTGTTGACAAGAGAGAGTATGGAGCTTTTCTGGTGCACCTTGATTCAAAGATGCTTTGTCGATCCCTTAGAGTCGCTTTTCTTAAACTCACCTCTCCATTGGCTCAGTGATGCGTCACCTGCCTTGGCGCGAAAGGGACAAGCACCGATCATCGTTATTTTTCCGCTGCGCCGAGAGCGCCGCTTTTCGGCGGCTTCCTTGGAAAGAGAAGCAACGGGAATACCCGTCTTGCGCGGGTTGTTGTAAGGCTCTCTTCTTGGAGGGATGACAGTGCATGATGCATGTGGTTTGATGATGATGATGATGATGTTGTTGCTGCTGCTGTTGTTGTTGCTGCTGTTGTTGTTGTTGTTTGCTAATGGTATATGTGTCCAAGAGCTGGTCGCCTTGTACCCGCAGAAACAAAAGTACCTCATCCTACCGGCTCAGCGGGCGTCGAGTGATACTCACGCGCGAGCAAGTGTTGCCCCTTCAGCGGTCGACAGAAGGAGCCCAGGACACAACGATCTGGTACCTGCATGGGGAGTGAGAGTCTGGGAAGGGCACAGGGAGTGCCACGGGGAGTGCCACGGGGAGTGCGACTGGTGTGGCTCTCTGGCATAGAAGACCGCACCGATGGGCGTTCTCGCGGAAAAAAGGCTCCGCGACGTCCCGTCCATCTCGTGTGCTTCGTCCGGTCCCCCGGTTCGCTGCCGGACACATGTTCAGTGAATCCACGTGGGTAGGGCGCCCAGGTATGGCTGAAAAGATCGAAACACCGGACGCTGATGGGGCGGCCGAGTTCGAAACCGTTTGATCCAGTAGGTCCATCTCTTGGAGTTCGGATTGGTGACACCAGTTCTTCCCCGAAAAAGATCCCACCTAAAATGTCTAAGACAATGGATAACAGTCCAATTTATATATATACATAAACGTTGGCATTTCTTGAGTCTCCTGCTTGGAGGTTTTGTGCAACTTTGTCAGGCCAATTACAAAATCCGCGGCCGGCGTCTTTGATTCGGCGTTCGAACGTGCATCTCTCCGATACAATATCATGTATGCAGTTAGAAATTACATCTCACACCCCATGACTAAACATGAGCACAAGGTCCAAATCCATCTCAGTCTGATCAAGTACTGCCAGGCATCCCCCGAACAGTCAAAGCCAAACGACCACGTCCACTCGTCTGAGAGGATCTTGTGCATACCCAAAGGCAAAAAAGAGACTTTGTTTCATCTCAATAAAGAATAAAGGAACAAGAAGTGCCAAACTCAAGCTTTGTGCTCTTCGGTTTATGTCTATTCCTGCGTGCTTGGTTTGCTATATTTATATGATTTACTTGTCAGTATATCACACTATGCCCTCTAACTCCAAACCAGTCTTCGCTCTCTCCCTGTTTGTCCCTGCCCTGAAAACATCCTTCACCTTCCAAACCAACCACCCTTCAACAACGGCACACACCGCCACCCTTCAACACCTGGGTGTTCCGCACAGCAACACCTCGGTCAGACCGCCTGGGTTCCGCCGAAGACCGTGGCATCCTCAAGGAGCGAGACGTTGGAGCCAATCAGGAGCCGTTGCAAGGTGATCGATCCATCGATCTCCTGAGGGATCGGTCCTCGGTCCGTCCTCGGCGTCCTCGGTCAGTCGAACAGCGATGGGGACGGAGGGTGCCAGTGGTTTGCCAGGAAGACACCACCGAGAAAGGTAGGTAGATGTGGAGTTGGAGATGCATGTCTACGGTATAGCAGTAGAGCAGGGTGGAGGTAGTTTTGGTTTTGACGTGTGGAATTCGGCGATGCAAAGGGCTTCAGACTTGTAGGACCTGGGGAGGGAGCCTGAGACAGCTATATGTTGTTATGTATTTATCATTCTGTTGTCTCTTCAGAACATGTTAGGTTTGCCCAAGTTCGCAAGAAATAGTAGGTATAGAGTGCGCTTCTGTCTGCAACTGATTATACTAGGCCAGGGGTTACTGTAAACAATTTCTGGACCTATCCTCCAAGACCCCCGCGCGACAAGGTAGAACGTACTCCAAGACTCCAAAATCTCGGAAGTTCCTTCTCGACGTCATGTGGATTCAACGAATATATTTTCAGAACCTTGCAGTTGTGATTAGTTATGGAATGTTATAGACATCCATCTAGAGAAAACAACGCTGAAGAAAGTATCGCATCCATTGGACACTTTCACCACGGCAACAGTAACACCATGGTCACCTTCAGTAGACACCCTCTCCCCTCTCGTCAACCCCCCCGACCCAGCGCGGCCACCCACGAGCCGCTCCAGGGAGTGTGGTGAAAGCCGTGCCATGCCCAGCTGGCAATGATCGCCCATCACCAGGAGCCACGGCTCGTGCAAACCCAACTCCTGCGATGGGAGTGAAGAGATCCGACCGTCTCATCGCGATGGGAGTTGATCACTACCTGGCCACTGGGCCTGATGAATGCGATCATCTCTATCTTGCACAGATTCTTGCTAGAAGCGCCAAGCAGAAGCAGCAAGGCTGCCCAGTTATGATAAAACACATAAGTTATCATAAGTTCCAAAATGCTGAAATTGTGTTCCTCTTTGACCTAGAGTCCCCCAATTGACCTGAACATCATGCCTTTTCGCTCCTCATCGAAGTTCACTCCTTTGCCAATCCGTGCGCCCAGTAGCCGCAAAAAGACGGGAAAGTATGGCGTGGAGAGCAACAAGGAAGTCCAGAGCCGGGAAAATAATAAGAGCTCCTTGGCAAAACGCCCATGACCCGTCGTGTGTGCGGTGTTTATTGTTCCCATAATTTAGACTAACTTAAGCTTAGCATGTTGTATTGCACATATGGCAAGAGGACCAAACACATCATGTTTTGCAGGGTAATGCAGGGTAGTTTATGCCTCGGCCTGAACTTGCCTTCAAGAAGAGTCTAATTAAGTGCTTTCTGGGGAATCTTCGTTCTCGTTTTACGGATGTTGTTTAATTTCCATTTCCAACACCTCCCTGTCCCCGCTTCTACAACCCTCTGGATCCACGACATATCTGCTGAGAAAGTGATTGGATACTCTTCATGCAGGCTTGGAGGCTCCAAGTACCTTCTGAGAAGGTATGTGGATCCCTAGGGCAACAGCGGCAAGAGGCAATTAAGTGGCGAATCAAATTGCAAGTCCAAACACGGAGTGAAAGCAAGAAAAAGCACTAGACATCACTAAACACATCACAGCACCGCGCCACACAGCGCTGCCTCACCACCATTGTCCGGGGTCGACCCTCCGGGAACTCCGTGTTCGGACGAGGTGGCAACGGAGTCGTTCAACGTCGTGGCGGGTGGGAGTCTGGCGTTGGGTGGTTTCTCGAGCGAGTGGAAAGCAGTGAAGCATGCAGCCTCCATGTTAGGAAGACAAGGAGAAACACACTAAGGGATAAATGGACGTGAACAGATCTTAAAATGCAACAAACAAACACATAAAACATATATATATATATATAACTAAAAGAAGCAATCAAACATAAGTAGACAACATAAAGAAGTGGAACAAACCGGTGCTCCGAGACTCCATCACGGTCTTCCAAAGGTGAAAGCCCCCAGTGCCTTTCGTGAGCGTCAGCTCCGGCCAGTCGCGGCAGATGGCCTTCAGGGTCCCAACGCAGCACCAGTAGATGACCACGCAGAGCAGGAGGCCCTCAGAGTTCGAGCAGACCCGGTAACCCGATGGAGTGGTCAGTGGTCGGTGCCTGCAGACTTCATGGAAGACTAAAGGACTCTTCTTTTTTGGGAGGTGCCACGAATGACTCTTTGTTTGCACATACTGATAGACCTCAGATTCAGTTCAAGTCAGAACATGCGCTAATTAGACATGTTTGGCAGGTCAAAACGTGTCAAACCAAAGAACGTCTGATCACGTAAAACCTGTACCCAGATCTATCGACCTTTTATGGAGAGTCCCAAAACACCAGGTCAGGAGTCCGGAGAGAAACATCTGGATTCTGCGGAAGAAAGCCATGGAAGCAACATGTGATGCAGGACTGAAGAAAAGAGACAACCATATTTGCGAGAGACTGATGTGAGATTGGATCTTTTGTGCATGGTCAATCTGAAACCAAAGTTAGCATCTCAAGTTCGTGATTTAAGGGAACCGCATGGATTCCAATGGATATTCCACTTCGCGAGACGCGCAAAAGAAACATCCAAGGAATGAAGATTACGAGATGGGAAGCATCAATCGAACCCAGCATCTGAAGTGTTGGTTCAACTGACTTTTGCAACCTACAGGGCTGTAGCAATGACCTGGCGTTGAAACATGTCCATGTCACAAGTTTAGTTTCCGCAGCCAAGCTTTGATGAAAAACAAAAAAGTTCCAAGATACTTACCATCCTAGCTGGATAAAAATTGGGTCATTCCCATGGCCCCTGTCATTCTCCAAATCAACCTGCAAAACGGAATGGAAAGCCGAACACGTTTAATGGTGAAGCCGAAAACGTGGGGAATGAACAAGCAACTGGTACTGTATTGACCGAATACGCATATACCAAAACGCTCCCAGGCCTGGACCTAAGGTCTCTGGACCTGCCAGGGCCCGGAGGTCGGATCTCTATATGATCGAAGCCCCCAATTCTCTTGCAGTTTGGTGGCCAGAAAATATCCAGCGATGCTGATCAGGCAGAAGCTGGTGGCAAAGGTTCGAAGGTCCGAGGAAGAAGATGCCGGAGAAAAGAAGTACTTGGTCCAAAAGGAAAAAAACAAGGGTAGCAGCAAAGGCTGCAAGCTGATTGCTCTCTGCACAGTGGATAGGAAAACCTCAGATTTGGCAACTTCTTTGGAAGTCAAACTGAAGTCAAACTGACAACACAGTACGGAAGTCAAACTTCCCAAGTCCTTCCAAAGACCTGGTCACATCCCGCTCGTCTACTTCCCCCAGTGAGACCGCGTGTAAGCACCATGCTGCACCTCCATGACCCCCATGGGGCCAGGGTCCATGAGAACAGCTGAACTAGCACTTAGAGATTGAATGCCCCTGGCACGATTCACAGCCAATTAGATATGTTGCGATGAACATGGATCATGGGAAATGTAATGGGTTTTGTATATGAAACATACAGGACGATTCCACACGGTAAAGCAGGCGTCTTTTTCCG